AAGCCTACTGATAAATGTTCAGAAGCGAAACATGACTGCTGCGTTAATTGACTCTGACATAGGTCTAAACGAAGATTGCAACGCACGTTGGCCGAATCGAGTTTCCGACGAGGTGTCATTATCCCATCGAAAAATGAGTAACTGCCGACCTCCCATCGGTCGGCATTCTCCCACACTCGATTCCTTCACCCCTCTGTGGTCTCCTAGAGATCGAGAAAGTGGCCTGTTTGTATACGAATGCTCAGTGTCATTTTAAAAATAGTGGCCGGACTGTAAGATCGCCAAGTTTCTGGCTCGTATGATGTCGTTGGTATCACCGAGACGTGGCCGCACACGGGAATGACAGACGCTGAAGTTTGGCTACCAGGGATGTCACTGGTCCGGAAAGATGGGCTCACAAAAAGAGGAAGGGGTAAGTCTGTATTACCGCAGCGACTTACAGTGCGAAGCCGTGGAGGATCCAGACTCGCAGTTTCCCGACTCTCTTTGCTGCCGCTTGCAGTTAAATGGCAGAGATGCTTGCCTTATTGTCTTGGTGTAACACCCACCTAACTCTGCACCCGAAACCGACTGCCACCGAGCGGCTGAATTAAGATGTATTTTACAATGAAAGTACATTCATATACTAGCGCAGCGTCTGTAGGTACGCTGCATTCGATTTACTAACCGCGTGCTTGCATGCTAAGTCTCTTTAATTCATGTGGTGGGTTTAAAATTTTACCTTAATGCTTTTCTTTCTCATACAATTGTCTACCTGTACTTTATTCCATTAACTTGCACACCTCGCTTAAGCCAATTGTATTCGATTTCCATAACATTTTTGTGTTCGTGGCATTTCCGTAAAGTACACTTTCTGACCTCGTGAACTTATCTAGGATTCGTTTGCAAACAACCTATTTCATATGCTCATTAACTTAAGGTTTATGTCACCGTTTCCTTACGCATTATTCGAGTTATTTTCTTTGTAGCTCTCCCTCAAGTGATCGGCTGTTGTTTGATATCCCCGGTGTGGCTGCGCTTGATGTGTATGTTGACAAGGTGCCTACCTGTGCATTACCCACTACCTCATCCATACGGGCTATAGGAGACAGTTGGTCGTTGCTGGAGGGGACGGGGTGCACGGTCCTTGTGGCCGTGTTAGGATCAAAGAGTCGTTCCATGCACTCAATGTGGAGCGGACTACGGTACAGTCACCGCCTTGTGTGCGCTTGATTCCAATATACAGCGTGCTTGTGTTTGTCTGTGAAGGAGTGTGGGCCGGCTCCGCTGATGAAACGTGGCTCCCATCCACATGCCTACCGGTCTTCTTCATTCGGGTGTACACTGGATATGGGGTATGTGGTTGGAGCTGTGGGTGGTGCAGCGCAAGCCAAGCATGGTCCCTCTGTAGGCGCAGACGTCCTGTGGCTTGCCACAGTGACAGGCACATCCGAAACCGGATGCCGCCAACTATTCATATACTTATCGTGGGTGGTTGCAATGTACATTGTGTAGAAACTTCTGCCACGATCGGAGAACAATTCAAAGCCGATCTACAAGATCTCGTAACCATTGTCCCTCTTTACAAACACATCACTTTGCCCACTCGGTTCAGAACAGGTAACAGGCCAACTGTGCTGGATCTTGTGCGTACCAACGAAGAGCAAATGATTGCTGTGTTGGATTTAGTCTGCTCGTTTGGTCGCAGTGATTACGCAATCATCAGTTGCAACTTCGTCTGCTATGCAGAATATCGGAATGAGAACGATGAGACTGTGCTAACCATCACAAGCTACAATCGATTAGCCCACCATGTCAGCGCTACAACTTGGTCGTTCCTTGCCGAAGTACCCCCGGAAGTCGCCTGACTCGAGTTCGTCAACAAATTCAGTCGGCTGATTGCAGAGGTTTCAGAGAGAAGAGTTTGTAAGAAGTGAACATCAGTTTATTTCGTTGGGAGCAGGACTCAAAATTGAATGACAATATGCAACGCAGCATGTCTAGTGTACGGTGAAGCTGTAGCACCAGAAAGTTAGGACAACTGGGTAGCCCAACGTAAGTACTGCACTCAACTGCTCAGAGAAGACAAGGTCGCATATCAGCAGAACATCGCAAAAACTTTTAGTGCCATCCACAAACTGTTATACAAGCACCTCAATAGCCTACCAAAGTAGGGGCCAGGATTTCCTCCCCTCAGGATAGTTGATGGCCCAATGGGAAGGGCAGTGGAAGCAACAAACGCGTTGCGGAGGTAATCTGCACCCCATGTTTCAGAGGGAATTCCCACTAAGCGATCTTCCAACTTTTTAGTCTCCTCGTTATGATTAACCCACCTCGCTTTTACCGCGGAGGCTGAATTGTAAAAGCTGACGTCGCTACGCAAACACAGCTCGCCGGGTGTCGACACCATTTGTCCAGAGGCACTGGAAGCAGCAGCAAGCCAAATGTCAGGTCCATTAGCTCAGCCTTTCCAGCGCTGCTTAGACCAGAATCAAGTGCCCGCTATGTTGAAGCCTGGAATAATAACCCCGATTCACAAAATTTGAGGAAGAATGGATCCCTCCAACTTCCACCCAGTATCCCTGCTTCCTATACCCTCCAATGTCATGGAACCCATAGTTGCCGATGCATTGGTGTGCTAGTTGTAAAACTGTAACATCATCGCATTTGCGCAGCATGGTTTGCGTCGACAGCAGTCATGTACAACGAATTTACTAATCGCCCGCAGTAGTTGGATTGAGGCAGTTAGCGATAGAGAAGGCGTTGATGTGATCTACTAGGATTTTTCTAAGGCTTTTGATCGTCTGGACCATCGGATACTACTCTCCAAGTTCCAGCATTACGGGATCGGCGACCCTCTTTTAAGCTGGATCGCCAACTTGCTACTTCCACGGCAATTAGTGATCAGCGTACGGAGCTCTTTGTCGGACAAGTCGAGTTTAGTGTGCCGTAAGGCTCAGTTTTAGGTCCACGTTTCTCTTTGGTTTTTAGTATTGACCTTGCACAGGGAATCTCTTCAAACTTACTAATATTTGCCGACAATATCGAGACCTGGCGCAAGATCCAGACGAATGCCGACCAGCATCTGCTTCAGAGTGACCTAGACACAGTACATCAATGGTCAATCCAGAAGTTACCGAATTTCAACGTGTTTAAATGCAAGGTACTTTCCATCCGACATCAGAGCAGTTACTCATACCGGCTCGGAACGAATATATTGGAACAATCATCTGTCGAACGTGACTTAGGTGTCCTGGTTCAAGATGACTTGGGTTGCTCTAGGCAATCCGGAAAGGCCTCGAAGACTGGGAAAAAATATGTCGTGCTGTTGCGACGGGCGTTTAGACAAATAAACAACTCCATATTTCGACAAATGCTCAGTGCGTAACTTTGCACTTCATGTCGAATACACAATTCAAGCATGGCATCCATAGCTAAAACACGACCTTAATGCACTGGAGCAGCCACAACGTCGGGAATCTCGTAGAAGGTAATTGGAATGCGCAATCTTTCATACCAGGAAAGGCTGCAACGATTGGGGTATTCAGTTGAAGCTATCGCAGACTACGAGGTGACCTGATTATGGCATACTTGATTCTGCGAGACCCAAATCATGTGTGTCACACTTTACTGCGACTCAGCACCAATACAACCATTAGCGGTCACTCATTGAAACTCGCTGTACAGTATAGCCGCCTGGAGTATCGCAGAAATTGCTTTTCCATCCGTGTCTGTCACCCGTAGAATGCTCTCCCAGAATCCGTATTTTTTCACCTACACTTAGTGTTTAAACGACGCTTGGATGATGCCCTCATGCACTTACATTTTGTTACTCAGCACTAGGTTTCCATCCTACACCTGGAGGCTACCATGGAATTATTTGATGTTAACTGCGGGTACTGTGAATCTAAGCAGCTTGCGAGACTGGGGCCGAGCAACCGATAAGTTTTTATTTTCATATTTAAAGTAATAAATGTTTTACTATAATTATGCTTACTTTTTGTTATCTAGATATCCTCACCAACTACCTTAAGGGACTTGTACAGCAACGCTTCTTAACCGGTATAAATTTATTGTTCATTATATATATATATATATATATATATATATATATATATATATATATATATATATATATATGGGTCGGCGACATCCAGTTTCGAATTTGCCTGTCACTTTGGCCTCCACGGGGACGGCTGCATAACGCCTGAAGCTACCGAGGGACCATGGGTGGCTTGCGTTGCACCACCCCCACACCCTATATGCAGTGTGAACCCGAAGGAATAAGACCAGGTGGTTTGTGGATGGGAGCCACGTTTCATCAACGGAGCCCACCTGCACTCCTTCAACGAGCAAAACAGAAGCATTCCTGCCTAATTTGGAAATAATACACCCAAGATGTCCGTAAGGCGGTGGCTGCGCCCTAGACCGTTCCACACAAGATGGAACCACTCTTTGAACCTGGCACCGTCATATGTATATGTATATGACTAGGTGTGCTTGTGTCAACCAAACCGTAGGTTGCCTGTAACGTTTTATAGCTTCCATTTGCTCCTAGACCTGGAATCTGCTTTGGTGCTGTTAAACTAGCGGGACTGTACTTTCAGACAATAAACCTACATTTACTGAATCCACTGCTTTAAGTTGATTTTCTCTAATTTTGGTTGAATCTTGGCGTATAGCGGCCGAACCTCAGTGACTCAAGTGTTTAATCTTACAATTTATCTACCTATTCATCCTCCCTCACCCCCAAGTTGCCACATCGAAGTAACTATTCATGAAACCCGTATCTCGGGTGTATCCGATCGTTCGTCGAGCCGCGCGTTGACTGCTAACTTGACGCTACGTTCGGACCATTCGATCTCATCGTTCTCCACACAAAACCACGGACTCTGCTATAAGATGTGCCGTCAGGATTGTTTGACGCACAAACTTGAGTTCAGACAGCCGCGACTACGAAATCGATCCCTCACGATTTGGATGCGCGAAGTGCGCACATGTATGCGACCGACCCGCCTATCGGAAAACAGACGCCTTCCAGAGAGTAGAAGGCACGCTGCCTAATGGTCAATTTCAAGGTCATCCAATGACCCTGACTAGCTTCGGACTATACAGTCTGGATCTGTGTCGCGTCGCTTCCGGATTTGCGACTCGCTTAACAGGTTTCGTTAATTCCACGTCAATGGCTGCGCCAAAAGTTAAGGTGAGTGATCGAACTGTTTTTCGGTTGCTGATTGCGGTTCTGGCCTTCAGATCTATCACAGAATAGTAGCAGTAGTAGTAGAAAAGAATAGTAGAAGAATCTAATAGCTGAGTTACATCAGTGAATCATGAATTCGCAGTATTAGTTACGTCGGGTCCAGCTGCTTCGCTTTTCTCTTCGTTCCGTATTTATTATGTGTCTTACCTGTGATCGCCATCAGCCAGTATTTGGTGCACACACAACACCTCCCTGCATCCATCTGATTTTGGAACCGCTAGCTTGCCTCTCGCTAAAACAGTTCAAAATTGTCGGCTACTCCTAAAAATATGAGTGCAGTCTTACAGTCGTAGTATAAAATAAATAAATAAGTACTTTATCTCAGAATATGCTTGGAACCGACTGGGATTTCATGATTTCAGAATTATGTATGTATGTAATCTCAACAGTCTATCAACTAGACAGAGCCAACATAAGACCATGGAGATCAGCGGATACGCAAGATTCATCGCGTCATAATCATCGTGGCATGCTAGTTGAAGGTGAGCAACACACCAACTAATATGCCGCAGGAAGAATGAAACATTTTGACGAAAATTAGAACAAAACATTTTTAGTTTGTTTTTCACACGCCGCTTTTGCTCTTCTTTGTCATTTTAATGTTTGTAGTGTTAAACATGTGAATCAATCCAATACTGTACACAATTCTTTTACTGATTCCGGTTGCGGGCCATATCTTCAAGAGTGCTAAGCCATTGGCACTCCTCATCTTTGGGTCCCCATCCTAGAAGACGTACGGATTCAACAGCGGATTGACACGACTTCAGCGATTTCATGTGCTGCCGCCAAGTGGAAGGCTGACCACCACGCGGTCGCCTCCAGCCAGGTCTTTGACGAGCGAATAGAGCGCGACGCAGTAGACGCTCAGGTGCCATGCGTAGGACGTGACCGAGCCATCTCAACTGGCGCAACAAAACCAGTTTATTGAAGGGAGTACTCGCATTCCCCAAGATGCGACGTCGAACGTCATTACTATTAACTCGATGTTGCCACCAAACACGAGCGATCCTCCTTAAGCAACCGTTATCGAAGGCAGAAAGACGGCGCATGTCTTCCACGCGAATCGGCCAGGACTCGCACCCATACAACAATACTGAGCGAACTGATATGCTGAAAATGCGACCCTTCAGGGAGAATGAAACGTCGCGACGACGCCACAAGTGCCTCAGATTGAAAATGCTGTTAGAGCTTTAGCGATACGAAGAGAAACTTCTTTGTTGATAGTGCCGTCAGCAGAAGCACAGCTCCCAAGGTAAACGAAACTATCTACCTGTTCTAGTTGTGCACCTTCGAAAGTGAGTACGGGAGCAGGTGAAAGCCAATTCTTGAGCAGTACTTTACACTTCGATGGGGCGAAGCTCATGCCATACTTAGATGCTTCAACCGTCAAACGATCCAGAATGAGGTGCATACTCTGAGGATCGTCACCAAGTAAGGCGATATCACCAGCATAATCTAAGTCGGTCGCGCGCTCACCCGGTAGAAGCTCTAAGCCAAAAATGTTGGAAACCTTCTAGAGCATTCGACAGAACGTTTTCGATTGCGAAGTTGAAGAGGAATGGGGACATAGGGCAGCCCTGTCGCACACCGCTACTGAGAGCGAATTGCGAGGAAAGCTTGCCATAGACCCTCACTCTGCCGGATGTATGAAGGTAAAGTGCTCGTAAGATGGCGGTATGTTTCTCTGGCACCCCGTTTTTTAGTAAGCAACGCCATAAAGCAGGTCGATCAAAAGAGGCACGTATGTCTAGGAATGCAACGATAGTGGGCCTGTGATAAATGTGGCGATGTTCGAGCTGGCGGAGCGTGAAGATTTGATCCACGCATCCATCGCAATGAGGCTGGACCTTACCGTGGTGCGATGGTTTGTGTGCCTCAGCGATCCATTGAGCTATGCTGGGTGGTGCATTTTTGCAGCTTCAGAGCCACTCATACCAGATTGGTCAATGGTTAGAGGCCAGACAAACTCAGCCTCCTGGTCCTCCAGGTTGGGGGTTGGAATGAGGGTGGCACTTTATTCCTTAAAACGGACTCCTTGTAGCCCAACGCCAAACCCGCTGCCTTGCGGACAGGTTTTTGAACCAAGGGCTTTGGTTGAGAACCCTAATCGTTCTCCCGTCTAGGCCTAGGCAACCTGACAGTATCCTGCCCACGCAATACAATGAATCCTTCCCCAAACAAATTTCTGATGCTCTGGCCACCGCAGAGGATAATCAACGGCGCCCTATCTGCTGCATCGAGCAGGGTGGATAGGGGTTTGGATGCTGCTGCTCAAGCCTTCCCGACTTCTTATTCCCCCTCTTACGCTTTTTCACCCTTGTCGTCCCTTTCCAGCTTCACTTCTATCCCCCCTGTTTTCAACCTCCCAATTCTCGGCCCTCCCCCACCTTGCTTCAATAGTCGCTCGCCTTTTAGTTTCAACTCACATGTGAACGCGGAGCGTCATTCCTGCACTGTCAACAGGCCCATGTCCAACCAAGCGGTCAAGCCCAGTTCATCGGCTTCCATTTAGAGCCCTCGATCCTCCTTCAGATTGGCATGCCTCAATGTTCGCACATTGCTTCAGATCGGTCAACAGGCAGCACTTGCCCGAACATTAGAGACCCTCTCAATCGATATCTGTTGCTTATCGGAGACCCGCCTGCAAGACTCGAGCTCTATGCTCACTGTGTGATCCCCTTCAGGTGACGCAAACAGTATTTTCTCAGTGCGCCTATCCGGTGACGATGCAGCTTCGAGCACCGGCCAAGCCGGTGTTGGTGTTGCCCTGAGTCCCCGGGTTGAAGCTGCTCTGGTTGATTGGATTCCAATCAGTAGCCGGATGTGTGCGGTCCGATTGGCTGGCTCGTTCAAAACTTCGAAGTCGTGTGGGACTAACAGGTGTCTATTCGTTATCGCTGTCTATGCACCGACAAACTGTAGCGATGACTCGGTAAAAGACGACTTCTATCGTCAACTGAACGAGCTCCTTAGCCACAGAAAAAGCCCAGACACTGTAGTGTTGGCTGGGGATCTAAACGCTCAAGTTGGAAAATTATCCACAGATGAGCTGTATCCGGGCGGTCAACATGGTGTAGGCTCCCGTAATGATAACGGTGAGCGGTTACTTCATTTGTATGAGGATGCTCGCTTATTTCTTGCGAGCACTAACTTCCGACACAGCACCCGCCGGAGGGTGACTTGGCGCCCACCAGCCTTGGACGCAAATCGATCATTTTGCAATCACTTACCGCTAGAGAGGCTGCATCAAGAACTGTCACTCGATTTGGAGCACATGTGTGGAAACCGATCATGCACTTGTGTGCTGACATGCGGATGCGCTTTGGCGGACGCCCACGACGACGTTGTGAGAACATTGACACCAGTCAACTGGCGAAGCCAGCTGTTCTGAATGCCTATCAAAGTACGCTGTCATGCGAGTTGGATAAACGCTCACTGGATGCAATTGAAGCTCATTGGTCCCATATTCACCAGACCTTAGTAGCAGCAGGAAAATCCTCATGTGGTATGTATAATCGCCAACATGGACATTGGGTCTCTTCACAGTCTCTGGAACTTATAGATGCTCGCCGGCATATTCCGGCTGGAAGCGAACACAATGCAACTCGCAAAGAGCTCCGGGCGAAACTCCGTGCCAGCCTGAAGA